CGTGGCTCACCCTCTGGTTCCCGGTCCCCTCCAGCGGTCCATCCAGGAGGCTCCTTCTCCAGCCAGGGACGCACAGATCCCGGGTGGAAACAGCAGCGACAGCAGGGCGGAGGACGGAGGACACTCAGACTCTGAAGACGCACATGTCACTCTACCGGAATTAAAGCTGGAGGACATCTTCATCGCGGTGAAAACCACCGGGAGGTTCCACGAGACGCGGCTCGCGCTCTTGTTGGAGACGTGGATCTCCAGAACCAAAGCGCATGTGAGTGTGTGAGTGCGTGTGTTTCAAGTTTAAAGGCTTTTATTGTCATGTGTGCACAGTGTAATTATGACAATGAAATTCTTGGGTCACAGGCTCACCAACAAACACAACAAAACAGATACAATAGTTCAGGTAAATAAAATAAAATACAATATAATAGAAACAGTGCAGAATAGTCTATATACATGTAATTGGAATATTGATATGAGTCAGATTAATGTTATGGTTGTTCTTTCAAAAGTTCAAGTGTTTAACAATCTTATGGCCTGTCGGATGAAACTGTCCCTTAGTCTGGTGGTTTTAGACCTGATGCTGTGTGTGTGTGTGTGTGTGTGTGTGTGTGTGTGTGTGTGTGTGTGTGTGTGTGTGTGTGTGTGTGTGTGTGTGTGTGCTGCTCTGAAAAAGGCTGCTGCTGTCAGCCAAAACCACCTGTCCATACCTATGTCCTAATCGAAGCAACATTGATCTGTGTATATTGAAATATGTCTAGATTTACTAGAAGAGACTGTTTGTTTAGCTATATTTCAATAGATGAAATATAATACATTTGAGCCATAATTTGCTGTAGGCCATATGATGAAATTAATCTCACTTCCTTCCTGTTTTGAAGTTGCAGTTGCATAATGGCTGTTAACAGAGAAGTTCACTTCCGGAGTGGTTTGGTCGGTCAATGTCAAGAATTAGTCGACTAATGGATGATTGAAACAATGATTCAAATACCTTGCAATTCAGTTTTGAAATCAGTTTTTCCAATTGTAAATCGTATTGGACTAAATTCTTATTTTTTTTACTTTAATTTCCTTTTTGGACTATGACATCTCTTTGGGCTTCAAACGAATCAAACGATAATGAAAATAAGTTTCGATGTTATGCCACTTCAAAGAGTGTCAAAACCATACACTTTTTGAATTCAAACATGCACAAAGAAATATTTCAATAGGTGTTCTTACTTCACCTGCAATTCCAAGGGATGTAGATAATATTTAATGTTCAAAAATAAAATTGTCATCACTTTTTAACGGTTAAGTTTGGCTTAAAGACTCCATTCAAGGTCATTTTGAAGATAACAATTGACAAAAGTGAGCTTATGATGCTCGGAAGTCTTTGAGATATCTGTTGCTTTGCCATCACTCTAGCTTAAAATATTTCTTTACAGATCATCGCAACATTTTGAAATACAGGAGATGTGGTATTATTAAATGCAGAATTTCAGGCCAATTGTTCTCCTCATCTTCTAGGCTTGCTGGTGTTACATGTTAACTAGTAACACACAATGAAATGATGTATGTGAAAGGTTATTTTCAATGAGGAGTAGAAGAAAATAAAAATAGAAGGAACACAAAAGTTAACATAGCCGACATTTTATTACACTTTCAACAAACTTTTGACTTGACCTCTCAGGGAAGCTTTGACTACTCGAGTGGCTTGTTAAAACAAAAAACACACACTGCTTTTCCACGAAGGGTATCTTGAGGTTCGTCTCTGATCTGCAGAGGCTTGATTAATCCAACCTGGCTGGTGAACTCAGAGCTGAGTTAAACTTCAGGAACAAGACACGAGGGGAACTCTAATATCTTGGGGTTGTTTCAGAAATAATCTATATATTGAATGTACTGATACACAGACACAGCACAGGATGTACTCATAAATAACAGAGAGCAATGTATAAATACACTGGTGCATCACATGCTAAATGAATGACCATTTTACTTGACTTAATTTCCTTAAAATGCATGTTGGGTGAATACAACTTATTTGAAATGTAAGAACATTTTAAACAGTGATCTTTAGAGGAAGGGTTAATCTCTTAGCTTCTCGTTTTCTTTTTCGAATAGGGGTTGTTTTGAAATAAGAGGTATTATTTTATCGGTGAAAGAGGAAGATACTATTAGTGTGTTCCTCTTTAAAAGGCAAAGGCGCAATTACTTCATCTTCGCTTTTAGAGAACAAACAACCACAAGAGAAAATATACACACACACACACACACACACACACACACACACACACACACACACACACACACACACACACACACACACACACACACACACACACACACACACACACACACACACACACACACACACACACACACACACACTCAGGAAGCCGTGCATGCAGGTTGTCTGGACTGAAGGGAAGCAGCCGCTGTGTAGACTCTGTTAACAATACTGGAACGGAAGCTAGTCACAGAACAGGAAATGGAGGCAGATTGCAGAACAGAAAGGACCTCATCTTACCTCCAACCACACGTACACACATATGTATTCACACTCACCCACAAACACACACACACACACACATCACAAGTCTTTGTCGACTGGAACAGGGTGAAATGGGTTTTCTAACCGGCTCCACAGCTGCCTTTAGCTTATCTGCCGAGAGCCGGAAACAGGAGTGTTGCAACATCCATCTTCCCCTAACAACCATGTATTTGGTTCTCAACATGGTCTAGAGCCCCTGTCCAGTTCTCAGTCCTTGTATAATGTATATTAAAGCGCTAATAATTATGTTTACCATGTAGAATATCTGGATGATGGGATTGTAATACATTTGACAGTTTAGTCGGGAACTCGTAAAAAGCACAAATTGGAAAATTGCCATAGTGGTGGTGATAAAGTGGATCAACAAAGATGACGGTTCATTGTCTGGAAGCCACGAATGTCCATACCAAATCGTGTGCCAATCCATCTGGCTGGTGTTGAGATATTTCCCAGAATAAGTGAACACTTTGGCCAAAGGTTTGCTAGAGGTAATGTTAAAGAATCCATCCATATTTGTTTAGATATCTATTTAAAAGACAGACAATGTCAACCTGCTGGTGGCGCTACGGAAAGAGATCACCAAGGTCATGAGGGTTCATCATCTGGGGACCATACATGTCTTTGCATGCCAATCGATCCTGTAGATCAGGCATCCTCAAAGTCCGGACTCTGGTCCGGATCTGGACCGAACCACAACTGTCTCTGGACTCTGAGCAAATTATACTTTTCATATGTATTATCTGTGTCATCTGCGAGACATCGCCACAACGCAACGAGTCAAAATGATCCGCTATGTCCATAGACTGCAAACAGCGCTCTGCATGTCCTGTTCCACTGTCTGTGTGTGTCTGTCAACGCATTGGTCCAATCACATTCAGCATCCCGTCAGCGTTTCCCCCCCCAAACAATCTGCGAATCAGAGGCACAGTAGGGCGGGTCTTCGCGGAATGCGGGTGGGAAAAATGTGTGTCTAGTCTCTTTCAACCTGTCTAAGTCAGAGCGAGAGTTTAAAAAACAAAAATTCAGAGCGAGAGTTAACAGCTCATCTAGTTCCATCTGTACTGTAGCCAGTAGCCTAGTTTCACCTACCGGGGCGGCAACTGACACCCTAAAAATAGGCCTTGCCACCCCAGCTGCCACCCCAGTTGGCAGCTTTGTTTTGAAAGAAAAGTTGTGGCTCATCGGACATTTATGAGAGAAAGTCTCTAATGTCCGAGTGCAAGTGAATGCAGCACAAGATGCACGTCATGTAACCCCTCCCCCGGTCCTGGCGCGAGCGTGGACATATGATTGGCGGCGATTTCATTTGAACAGGACGGCGCAAAACGAGAAGCATTCTGACCCAAGCACTGAAGGAATGAGGTGTTTGTGGTCTGACAGAGAAGAGACTGTCAGTGTGGCTGTACTCAGCATTGAATCAAAACGCACTAAAGCTGTTGATCTTAATACGTTTGTGAGGCGTTTTGCTGAACAAGATGGTAATCGCCGCATTCAGCTGTAATAGACATGTCAACTTGATGCTCTGCTCACGGATGAGCATACACAACTATTAAGATGATGACCTTACGTGTAATATATTGTTTTCTTTGAGGCGGTCTGCCCCCAAAAAACTGTTTCAAGTCCTGAGAAAGTCAAATAAGACGGTGTGTAAAACTACACTGCCCAGCCAAAAAAAAGTAACCACTTTGATTTAACTAGGCCAGTAGGTAAGGACTTTCCACTGGATAATAACTGCAGTATAAAAGAATGCATGACTGAAGTGATGGAGACCATGTTGAAGGCAAACACAAAGAGGAAATAACAGGTCAAATCAAGCCCCTCTCAGATTCCACAGCAACCAGAAGAACATAAATACTGGCTGGTGATTTGATTCATCAGCCTTGTGATGGAATACAAAATGCACAGTGCATTTCCTTAGCTGTGGGTGAGTCCACTGACACCACTGACAATGCTCAGTTGCTGGTGTTTGTGAGTTTTTATGATGAGGCAAAGGGGGAGTTTGTTGAAGATGTGTTGGGCCTGACGAACCTCAGTGGACACACAAGGGGGCAAGACATTTATAAAGCAATAATGGGAATGCTGAATGAAAGAGGGTGCAGCTGCCTTTATTCATAACTGTGCAGCTCTGCGACTCTGAGGGGTCAAGCACAGACACAATAACAATGAAAACTGCTGCATACAGATTATTTTTGTTTTTGCAACCTCGTGTTAAGAATCTTGTTGCAATTGTTTAAAAGTTTGAATGACCGTAATAAACGGACCTTTGTCTTATTGAAACATTTATTTTGGACCTTTAAGATTTGTATTTGAGTATCCCTGCTGTAGATAGTGCTAGGTGAAAGCTTTGGCATGGGAATGCTAAGGATGCGGGGGTGACTGTGGCGTTCGCCCCCCACTCATTTTTTTTTTTCAACGTCTCGCGATTAATGTGCAGTAGCGAAGTCCAACAGAGAGGCAGCAGCTGCGGGACAGTAGACCGCGTACTGCGTAGCCTTCCTTATTCTTTCACATACACATACGGGTATTGGGCCGAGCGCGACACCGTACTTCCGGTCTGCGCCGTTTTACGCGAGGTGCAAGCAGCCGTACACCGTCTAGGTGTTGCTAAGCTTCCTGTACTGAATATCATAGTCTATTGGCCTTAATCAATATCTAGTCAACTCTAAAATACCACATATATGCAATGGCATGATAATATTATTGTGACAAGTGGGGTATTCACCTGGTGTTTCCAG